AGACACTAAATGGACAAATAACATCCACACAACCACGGAAGCTCACCACTACCTCTTCCCTGAGAAGTCCATCAGATTTCACACAGCTGACTTGCCTTGGATTACACCTCGGATCAAAAGACTTAAGCAGCAGAGAAACAACGCCTTTCATCTCGATGACAGCAACCGTTACAAGGCCCTTCGCAACCAAATCATCCGTGAAATACGCGCTGCAAAGAAGTCTTACTACCCAATCAAGTTGCAACAACTGAAGAACACCAACATCAGCCTGTAGTATGGTAAACTTAAAGAACTCTGTAGACTAAACAATGAGATACACCCCTTCCCTTTCCTTTGCCATCTCAGAAATGATGACGCAGCTGAGAAATCTATCAACCATTTCGCAACTGTTGTCTAATGGTAGATCCTGCTGCCATATGGCATCACAAAAATCGTGACAAGTCCCAGGGTCTCAATTGTTTTTCTTACCATTGACAACACAACATATATATACTGTATATTGTTTCTCAATCATGATCTTTCTTTTTTTTTCATTTTTGAATGTCTTTATTATTATTATTATTATTACAGTTTCGCCCCCCCAGACCCAGATGTGGGTCAGTGACCTATGCCTAGGTGGGTTATTCCAGTAAAAAAAAAAAAAAAAGCTCCCCTGACATTACAAAGAGTCTCCCTGCCTACCTCCCAGTCCCCTCTCCCACAGACTTAAGGCCCGTCCACACAATCGAGCAGTGCCCGCGGGCACGCGCTAAATGCCCATTATCGGGCAAAATTGGCGGGCAAACAAGCGGAGTGCCCATGCCTGTCGTTGAGCGAAATCATGGTCGGCCTGCCTGGTGGTTTGCTGCCTGATATGGAGAGACGATTTTCCAAATGTGATACGTATATGTTCCCGGCTCGGTCCAGATGTCCAGTGTATAACCAAATGAGCTTATGCAATGTACATTATTGGCGTGACAATAAACGGGAGATTGTTTAAGTATTATGTAATGAGGACATTCGTGTGTGTTCTTCGTTCCTACCGCTCTCCTCACTCTAGTCCCATATCTTCCTGCATATCATAATTCTAACATTATTCAATGAATTTTTATGTACTACAAATCTCACCTGCAAGTAATCTTCCTTGAGTACTTCATACATGGCTTGACAAGTTGCAGGTATTATGGGAGACAAACTTTGTTTCGATATCCTCGTTCTATACTGAAGTGACGTGTAGGTGCACCCAGTTGAAAGATATATGAGCGTTGCCTCCAGACGAGCCTCTGCAGATATACTCTCCCTCATATTGGTATCCTGTTTTTTTATATATGGTTCCACTTTCGCTAGAAGTCTGTAAAAGGTGTTGGGGTCCATTCTCATTTAATTGGTGAAGTCTTGCTCATGTCCATCTTGCAGTTCACGTAAAATCGTGGCATGACTTCCCAATACTTTTCTTCGACCTAACCACTCTTTGCACCATTCCCTTTTCTACATTTGGTTCTTTTTGCACATAGCAGCAATTATTATAGTACACAACGCTATGCTCTTCGCTTTAACTGTCCGGCGATTATTCCTGCGACACACCATGGTGATCGTACCGCACCCTCCACTGCCGACCACCTACTAGCTACCGGCGCCCGATTATGACTGCCGCCAACCAACCCCGTGTGTACAACAACACACAGGCTTTGCCCGGCAAAATGGCAAAGCCCACCGGGCACTGCTCGATCGTGTGGACGTGGCTTTAGTAGAACAATTTGAAGTAGCAAGACGTTTGGACAAACTGAAGTTAAAGCGTTCTACCACCTCCATTGTCATACCAATGAAACTCTATAAGGTGTTCTCCCCAGCACTAGCTAAACCCCTCTGCACCATCATCAATGCTTACCTCAGTCAAGTAAAATGCCCAGTTGACTTAAAGACCTCATACGTGTCATCAGTACTCAAGTCAACCAGCCCACAATCCTTAAATGAGTTACTACTCATTGCCATTTTAAACGCCTTGGTTAAGGACGTTCAGGTGACTGGCAAGTTGAAGGGAATGATTGAAACCAGCCTTTTGACGCATTCAGTATTTATTGATGTGGTCAAAACCTGCATGGTGATTCATCTGATACATAATTAGTTAGTCTCACACAATTTTATCTTAATTACAATTTATTAAACATACTTACATAACACAAAGTTCATACCTCTATTAATCTTAGCTTCGCTTTATTCTGCATTGTCTTATTACTCCAGGTTAGGCAGAAACTATTAGACGTAATTAGTCAACAATATTTCAGTACCAAGGGGTATGTCATCGCTTATGCTGTACTTACAAGTGCGGGTCAATGCAGATCAGTATGGTGTTCCAAGAGACAACAGTACTGCGTAAATTGTCTCAGCACAAATTCTTGGACAGGATTATGAGTCGGTGTTTACCAGTGCGTGCAGAGGGCTGCTCCTTACAGCATCACTCGAGAGGGAGATCTCCTGGAGTCTAGGCGGTCATGCCACCCTTTAAACAATACATTTAGCAGAAGCAGGAACTCTTGTCCGTAAACGCCGCCCACCCCCCAATCTTTGTTCGGGTATGGCAGCAAAACGCCAGCACTCACATGCCAGCACTCACATGCCAGTATTCACTCGCCAGTGCTGACGCCAGTAGGGGTTAACACTCCCGGCGGTGCGAGCACTGACGCCGGCGGTAAACACCGCCCCCCCGCCACATCTGGCGACGTCACAGGCATTAGCGTAGCTAGGGGGGGGGCGGCGGCGGTCCGCCCCGGGCGGCACGGCACTTTTGGGTCTGCTCATCACCCATATCTGCAGCTACTGGAGACGTTAATCCATCCCTTTGTATCGGCGGCAAGTTAATCCTTGTCGTGTCTGACCTAACACCTGACCCACATCTGTCTCCTACTATTCAGAACGAGTTTATAGAAATTTTGGGAGAAAACGTAAGAAGCAAAGTCATCAAGCAAGTAAAAGAAGCAAAGTACTTTTCCATGATATTCGACAGCACTCCTGATATTTCACATAAGGATCAAACGAGCCAAGTTTTACGCTATGTTATGATCGATGGAGATAAGGTGAAGGTTGTGGCATCATTTGTCGATTTCATTGAAACAAAAGGTAAAACCGCCGAGAATATTTCAATGATGATTTTGGAAAAATTAGAGAAAGACGGAATTGATATTCAAAATTGTAGAGGGCAAGCATATGATAATGCTGCGGTGATGGCTGGTGTTCATACTGGTGTTCAGAAACGTATCAAGGAAATTAATAAAAAAGCAGAATTTGTCGCTTGTACAAATCACTCGCTGAATTTGGCGGGTGTTCATGCAGCTTCTGTTGCTGTGAATTCTGTTACCTTTTTTGGATGTGTGGAGCGTTTGTTTGTATTTTTTCTTCATCAACCCATCGCTGGGATGTTCTAACTTCAGTCACTGGTCAAAGTGTCAAGCGCATAATAGAAACTCGGTGGAGTGCGAGGGGAGAAGCTGTAAGTGTTGTAAAGAAACATTTCTCAAAAATCTTAAGTGCCCTAGAAAAGTTAACTGGTGAAGAAGAAAATACAGCTACCAGGGCAGATGCTGGTGTTCTACTTGGTGCGTTGCAATCATTTTCCTTTTTGTGCTTTCTTGGCCTGTGGGGACCCGTCCTTCTAGAAATTAACGACACACAGACTTACCTCCAAACCAAGGGCTTGAACATACAACAATGTGATATAAAACTCAGGGCATTAGAAACATTTCTAGTTGAAAACAGGGACAAGCTAGTGAGTAATGGAGTAAACTATGCCAAAGAAATTTTCAATGATCTGGGGATAGTCATGGAGCGTCAGCGTCGACCCAAAAAGAAGAAACAAATGTTTGGTGAAGGATCACGAGATGCTGAATTGCCATACGACATTGAATTGAGGAGAGAAATGTTTTCTTCGCTGGACAGAGTGATCCAAGAAATAACTTTGAGATTTCAACAGCTTCATGAACTTGCTGAGAAATATGCCTTCCTTACCCCATTGAATCTTTTGGATGATAAATATGAGTGTCAAATAGATCACGATCACGACGACATTGATAAAGAGGAGTTCCTCGTTGAGAGAAAAAGACTTCAGCATTTTGTTGCTGTTGCTGCTATAACTATTAAAGACAGAATACAGACGTGGAAAGAAGGCCCCCTTGAACTTTTGCAGTTTATTCAAAAGTATAACCTTAGGAACTCGGTTCCAAATATAGTAATAATGCTGAGGATTTTCCTCACAATTGCTGTTAGTGTTGCTACCTGTGAGAGGAGTTTTTCGAAACTAAAACTGATCAAGAATTACTTAAGATCTACTATGAGCACCTTGCGGTTGAGAAATCTTGCCATACTGTCTATAGAGCGACAATTGACAGATGAAATAGTTTTTGACAATGTCATTGAAGAATTTGCCAAAAAAAAAACAAGAAAAGTTACTTTGTAGAAAGTTGTAGTTTTCATTTCAGAAATAAAGATGGTCCTAATTTTTTACACTTTTTTTACTTTTTTCCCTATCCTATATGTCGTTTTTGCTTTTTGTTTAACTGTTACTTATAAAGTTTAAGTATGTTTGGGGTGTATTTAAAGCATACTATATTTGAGTATGTGAAAGTACAGTAATATTATAATGGTACACAAACTATTTAATATATATATATATATATATATATATATATATATATATATATATATATATATATATATATATATATATATATATATATATATATATATGAGTGAGTCACTGTGCAATATGTATTTTTGTGGGGGCACGGGGGGGGGGCGGGGGGGGGCGGCAAACTCAAGGGCCGCCCCGGGCGGCACACACTCTAGCTACGCCACTGGTCACAGGTCGCGTTGGAGGGGGGGCGTGGTCGCAGGCTGAGAGATCTAATGTTTGTTCGGGCAAGGCAGCGTACGTCAGCACTGACACCAGCATAATAAGCCAGTGGCGATAACAGCCATCAACGTAATACCCAGCTTAATCAGCGAAAGTTTCGTTTTTGATTGGGCCTATGCAGATATTGCAGGGGCAACAGATCCTAAGTAATTTGGCAATACGAATACGAAATACGAAAACTTCCTCCGCCATTCACTTTCATGCCAACTTTCTCGTCTACATATACCGTCATATGGAAAAAAGAAAGACGTCTTTGGCTGTCGCCTTCATTGACTTCACCAATGCATTCGACCTAGGCAACCACAATTTAATCCTTAACAAAGCTATCGACGTCGGGTTTCGGAAAAGTCTTATACCATGGCTTACAGACTTTCTTAGTGACCGATGCCAAGCCGTACGCTTCCGAGGGGCTGTCTCCACCATTCAGTCACTCGCCTGTGGTGTCCCTCAAGGTACCGAGATGGAACTGCTATGTTTCCCCATGCTCATCAATGTAGCTCTGTGAAAAACTCCTGCTTGTTGGAAATGTGTCGACGACTCCAACATTGGGATCAGTGTGAACAGCTCGATTCCTGACTACACCGCCCTCCAGAATATATTGAACAGTCTCCAGAATTGGGCCATCAACAACCAAGACCTTGTCCCATCTCCCTCCATTACTTTGGGCCCCAACACACTCCAGGTTGTGGACTCCAATTTCCTTGGCGTCTCTATAGATACACTAAAGTGGAAAATACATGTCAGTGCAATTGTCTAATCCTCCAGTTTTCGTTTCCACCTCTTCTGCTGTCTCAAGTCCCTCGGAGTCCTCAGTGCTTACTCAACATTCATACTTCCTAAGCTCACCTATGCTTCCCCTGCCTGGTCTTCCTTTCCTAAATACCACACAACGGAAACCACTAGAAACAGTATAGAAGAGGGCGTGCAAAATTATTCTCTCTACTTCCTACTCCACATATCAAGGAACGCTCAACACACTCATTCGGCTCTCTCTGAGCATCACTATGACCTCATTTACAAATTTGCAGAGAAGCTTCTGCACCACATGATACTGAAAGCTCTGTCCTCTTGTTTCACCATGTTGTATTGCTTCCCTCATCATATTAATGTGTATCAACTCCACTGTAAAATATGTATATACTTATAATACAAATGTAATAAATAAATAAATAAATAAATTAATTAATTAACAACGAAGTGATAATCGTGGTAACAATCGGATATTTTCTTACTAACACCATGTTACGTGTATTATTCCAGATGATACTAAATGTTACATACCATTTTCTTTTAGATAAATGTACATTATACCCGTATATCAGGTGCCATTAAGAGAGCTCAAGACTCTCAATTGGCTCAGCCATGTCAATATTGTTATTATCGACTCTGTATCTATATTTTTCTGGCTAAATAAACTACAACAGCTCCTGCTTCCACCCAACATCCCTCGTACGAGAATTGCTGTTTGACACCACAACTGCATCCAGCCCATGCGAGCATGTATTCATCGCTATAAGAAGAGCCTAATCCCAGCTATTTTTAAAATTTTCAACACCTCATAGTCAACCATTGTGTTCACTCCCTACCAATCTTACGTCTGCAATGTTACTATGTTGAAATGCCCTGTTGTATGACGTTTTCTCCACCTAGTTATTATGTATCATATTTGTTTAATTTATTTTACTTGTATATTATTTGTCAATTTAATGACCCATTCCCCAATTATGTAACTATATATCTTCAACCTTTTGGTGCTCATGTATTTTTCAATAAACTGTTTAGTCTTGTTGTTGTTGTTGTTGTTTCCAGTTACTTGTGGAATCACTAATTAGAGGTGAACTGGAAACAACATTCATAAATATTTATGGCTTAATTTTTCGAACCCAAATGGCCCTTTCTCCATTTATTAAGAAAATAAACTATTGCACGATAACTGGGATATCACCGAAATTAACACTATGAGTTGTGGGCGTTAATAATGGACGAATTTGGGTAATACTATCTTCTTAGAGCACATGTATCAGTGGCTCAGAGACTGGAGTTGAACTGGCGATAGTTAGCTATTTAATTGATGACTCTGCAGTAAATGTGTGAGAGCACAGTAGGAATACACTGTCACATGTCCAGTTGATAACTTCTCACGGCTCATAGGAATGTTACCGTGGGTGATGTAATTATATAAACCTAATGTATGTAACTCACATTTATATAAGTATCACCGTCTGTTAGACAGGGGCTAATACATTGCTCGGCCACCACCCTCTGAGTTCTACGAGGAATAAACTAACTACGTAATATAACATAATACCTATGGATGCCGATCCATGTCATGAAAGATAAAATGTGCTGTAGATGAAGTGAGAAATCTACAACCAATTGATAAAAGTCTGAATTCCGAGCTTTAAACGCCTTACATTTCAGGGCTATAACATTTACAATTGCAACTTTCGGAGAGACATGTCTGGAATATGAAAACATACATAAAATTGATAAAATGAGACTGAAAGTTGTTACAACAAAAATAGGGCTCACAAAAACCCAGAGAAAAAAATATCTTCAAATGAAGGGGGTTTGATTTACATTGAAATAAGTAATTAATGTTAAATTGTCAGACACTAGACTGAGTTTGCTGGAAGCAATATTAACATTTAAGGAATAATGATGTCAGATCTGAAGTTAAAATCAAATTAAAGGCAAAAAATATGATGGTCTGGCAAGTTTATGATGACACTACTGGTGAGTTCACAATAGACTGAAGCCATATATAAATAAGCTTGAACTACAAAGTGCTTACCACCATCCTGGCATGGTAAACTGACACTGGGTTGGTCAAGAACAAATCACACGTTATGAAGATGTGCATGAAACACGGTATTTGTGGAACTAGGTGTATAAAAACATTGTGTAAGTGCTGTACGAGCAGTCGTTTGTATGCGTGCCAGTTTGCATATTCCTTCTGCAGCAGGAATAAACGCGTATGTGGGTCAGTAACCTGTGCCTGGGTGGGCTAATCCCGTAAAAAACAAAAAAATAGACATGACGATTTACACTGTGACCTCACCTTAGGAACATCCATTGCTAAAACAAATGAGAAGTAATCAGGCACTAATGATGCTCAGTTTGTTAATCCAGGGTCACAAGTGTGTCATTACATATATTGGAAATGGTTCCATTTGTCATGTGGTGAGAACACTGGAATGTGAATAACAAGAGAAGTACAGTATGCCGTAGCATTGCTTCTAGTTAAAGGAGAAAAAAAAATCACAATTTCAACATGCAAATTAGGGGCTAATTAAAGAGTGTGTACAAGGAAGAGGTGGGCATCCACACGTCTTAAACCTGTGTTAATTAAAGCAACAATAAGCTTATCACTGGTATTAATGTTCTTCAAGAGCACGGTGCTTCCCCACCTGGAAAACTGTCACCTCATTTGCCCTGAGATATGCTAGAGACTGTCAGTTGATTGAAAATATCTAAAGGAGGGCCACCAGGCTGGTGCCAGCACTTCGGCACCTCAGCTACCCTGAGAGATTAAAGCGCCTGCAATTGTTAGTTTATACTACAGACGGGCAAGGGGAGACCTAAATGAGGTGTATAAGCAGCTCAAAGAGCACTGCTCAGTTGAGAGTCCTTACCTGGAGCTGGCAGACGCTCGCCTCACAAGGGGTCACAGCTCAAGGTTGAAGAAGCCCGCAAGTCCAGAAAACTAAGAAGGCTAACATTTTCGGAATAAGAGTTGTGAAGTCGTGGAACAACCTGCCAGAGAGTGTTGTGACGGCAATGAGTGTGACCTCTTACAAGACTCGACTTGACAAGCACTGGAACAGGTTCAGATACATTCAGGGGCCCGTACATGATCAGTACTTGCCAACAGTGCGTAACAGAGAAGTAACCGATCGCCCAAGCGGCTAACGAGCCGATGAGTCGTGAACAGAATAAAAGTAAAAGTAAAAAGATGTTTCCAGATTGAGCAGATGTGTCCGGGATATCGTTGACATCCCTGGGTACGAACTCTGAGTGTACCCTTTAAAGTGTAACCGCATGTACTACGTCTGAGGTTTGTATTTGGCTTAAATTTTTTTCACACTGTGTAAAGTCCTGGACTTTGGGATACAAACTCCTTGCCAGCCTAATCAGGATCTTATAATAGGAAAGTCAAGAACCATGGGATTCCAAGGGGTAACAAACAACCATTAGAGATTGACATCTCTATACTTCGAAAATAATCACAATAATTGTCACCATTCACACAAATATCAAATAAACAATTATGGGAGTCAAACAATTAATGGAGATCAAACAATTAAGGGAGTCAACCAATTACAGGAGTCAAACAATTACGGGAGTCAAACAATTACGGGAGCCAAACAAAGTACAGACATTTCCTACGGCTGCAGCCCGGTGGAATGTTCCGTTGACGCGGTGGCCCGCTCTCAGGGGGAAGGTCTAGGGCAGCTTCCTCACTTGGCGCCGGCGTTGGTGGGCGATGTATTGCCACGCAGGAGAGACACCAGGGCACGGACGGTGGATAGGGCTTGGAGGAAGTGGCGATGCCGTGGCAGCCGCGGTAGTAGTTGGAGCAGGTATCCAGAGATTGACAGCCAAATAGTGAAGGACTGGGGAATCAGCCCACAAGCCCTAGGGGAGTACACTACCAGAGTTTGAACGAATAGCGGGAAAAGTACAGCTGTGGTGCTGGCTGGGTAGTGTCTGATGTGTGACGAATAGAATAGAATAGAAAAATGCTAGTGACAGGGGGGAAGGAGGTTCAGGGGAAGAATAAAGGGAGGATTGAAGTGAATTTTAGGAGGAGAGAACAGATGCAGTGGCTAAACACCGCTTGCGTGAGGGATTATAAGATGGAGGCAGCAGCAACTCGCCCGGACGCGGCCGGGAGGCGACAAGACACAGCCAGGCTAGCGTCAGGTCAAGCGTCAGGTGCGTGTTGGGTTGGGCAATGGATATTCAGTGCTTGGTCGGCTTGATTGTGTGTTTTGGTTTCTTGTGTGGAGGAGATGTCTTGGTCTTCTTAGCATGATGTCGATTTTCTTCTCACTCTCCTCCTCTTCTTGCTCTCTTGAAGTGTCCAGTCGTTTGTGTTTGGGTCTTGTTGTTCGTCTTCCTCGTGTATTAAGTCCTCATAGGTGTGGAAGAAGTCAGAGACGGTGAAGTTGACCACGTGGGCTTCAGCTCCACGGGCCACGTGGTGTTCTTGGTTCTGTGTGGTGGGCGTCTTCTCTTGAGTTTTCTTTTCTTGAGTTTTCTTTTCTTGGTTTTTCTTTTCTGCTGGTTTTTTCTTTTCTTGGGAACGTACAGCAAGGAGGGCCTCTTTGTAGCTCAGTTTCTTCTCAAGATGAGCCTTGGCTACCCTGCATTCCTCCTTCCATTTGGGGCATAACATAACATAAGAACATAACATAAGAAAGTGGGATACTGCAGGAGGCCGACTGGCCCATACAGGGCAGATCCCTTTCACACCCATCCCAGCACTTCCATGTGCCTATC